CCTCCTCTTCTAGCAGGGTCACCATCTTGCACCGAGGGCAAGTGTATCCCTGCCAGAAGAGGAGGTGAGGTGCCTGAGGGCCGAGAGAGCTCTCCAGGCCCCCCCGGAGCAGCCCCCTTCTGGACAGAGGGTTGAGGGAGAGGCCACGGGAGGAGTAGCTGCGGAGACATGGAGGTATGTCACCCACAGGAGGAGGAGGCCAGCATGGCCTCTTCCTTCTCCTGGCACCAATCTGGAGCTGGGAAAGAGGTTCTCTCCACTTGGGGAGGCTGGGGCTGATGAGGCCTCCGGGGACCAGCAGGACCCCCAGCCTGAGACGTCAAGCGGCAAGGGGGCCACTGCAGGAGAGGCGAGGGCCAGGGCACGGCCGCCCACCAGCACCAGGAAGGTACAGCAGCAGGTGATTGTTGTTGGGGACTCCCTGCTGAGGGGCACTGAGGCGGCAGTGTGCCGCCCCAACCCGGAGACAAGGGAGGTTTGCTGCCTGCTGGGCGCATGCATCCGGCATGTGAAGGACAGAGTGGAGCGTCTTGTTCGGTCTGGGGGTCACCAGCCGCTCATGGTGATCCATGTGGGCACAAACGATGTGGCCAGGCAGGGTGTGGTTGGGACCACCAGGGACTTTGAGGCCTTGGGGAAGAAACTCAGGGAGCTGAAGGCCCAAGTGGCCTTCTTGTCAATCTTACCTATCCGGGGATTTGGGCCAGGAAGGGACAGGAGGGCCTCCGAGGTGAACGACTGGCTTAGGGTGTGGTGCCAGACTGGCTTAGGGTGTGGCGCTTCAGGTTCCTCGACCATGGCACTCGTTTTCTTGCCAATGGACTTCTGGTATGGGACGGGTTGCACCTCACGAGGATGGGGAAAAGGTCCTTTGGAGATGCTCTAGTGAGCTTCGTCCAGAAGACTTTAAACTGAGCTGGGGAGGGGGGTTCAGACACCCCAGGAATGTGTCTGCACTGGACAAGTGTGGGAGGAGGATCAGGGCTCTGGGAGTAGGGTTTTAGAGATACTGCAGGGACTGACAGGACTCCTACAGAGAGGGGCCAGGTATCAGGGAGGATGGGAGGAAGGAGGAGGCTGGGGACTCCAAGGAAAGGAAGCAGTGGGAAGGAGTTGAGGTAGCTTTCCTGGGAATAGGAGGGTATGATCTGGTGGGAATCAGAGAAACTTGGTGGGATGAAAGGCAAGTCTGGAACGTGAACATAGAAGGGTATCACCTTTTTAGAAAAGACAGGAAGGGAAAGAGAGGTGGGGGCGTGGCTTTATACATCAGGGAAGGGATAGGATGCAGTGAGACAGAATGCAGCACAGATGGGGATTCGGTAGAGGCAGTCTGGGTGAAATTTAGGGGTTTTGCCAGGGAAAGAGACCTGACAGTGGGGGTATGTTATCACCCTCCAGGTCAACTTGAGACCCTGGATGATGTCCTGACAGGCCAGATTCTAAGGATATCTCGGGGGAGAGACACAGTAATTACGGGAGATTTCAATATCCTGGATATTACTTGGGAGACTCACTCAGTGATGACAGCCGGGTCACGTCGCTTCCTAGAAGCTATAGAAGGAGGGTTTTTCACACAGGGTCCGAGAGGCGACGAGTGGGGGAACATTCTTGACTTGGTCTTGACCAACAGGGAGAAGTTGATAGATGAGGTACAGATTGGGGGAGCTCTGGATGCGAGTGATCACTCCATTCTTTGCTTTGAGATCAGGACTGGGGACGTGCAGCAGGTCGAGCACTAGAAGCTGGGACTTCAAGAGGGCCAACTTTGGCCAACTGAAGGCCAGAGTGGGGAAGGTCTCCTGGGATGGGTTACTGGAAGGTAAGTGAGTTGAGGAGGGATGGATAGCACTCAAAAGGGAGGTCTTGGAGGCCCAAGCCTTGACGATACCTCTAGTCAGTAAGGTGGGGAGGTGGAGGAGAGTGCCGTCATGGATGCGAAAAGAGGTGGTTAGAGGGATTAGACAAAAGAGGAACCTCTGTAGGAAATGGGTACTGGGGAAATAGACAAAAGGGTATACCGGGAGGAGGAGGACTGTTGCAGGATTCTTTACAAGGCTAAGGCTGATTACGAGTTGAGACTTGCCAAGAATATCAAGAGCAACAAAAAGGGCTTCTTTCAGCATGTAAATAGGAAGAGGAAGTGGAGACAAGTGGTGGGACCACTAAATAAGGAGGAAGGAGATCCAGTGACTGATATGAGGGAACAGGCACAGATGCTAAATGACTGTTTTGCCTCTGTGTTTTCCCCAAAGGAGGACGGGGGATATCCACATAGGAGATTAGATGAGGCTGGGGAGTTAGGGGCACAGATTAGAGTCACCTCCCTTGAAGTCGAGGGGCTCCTCAGGGCATTGCTAAAGTGCCACGCCCTGATGGGTTACACACGAGAGTACTTAGAGAGTTGGCAGGGGTTCTCTCATGCCCGCTGGCCTCCATTTTTGAGACCTCGTGGAAAACGGGTGAAGTTCCAGAGGACTGGATTGTGGCATCAGTGGTACCAATTTTCAAAAAGGGTAGTAGAAAGGACATGGGGAATTAAAGACCAGTTAGCCTTACGTCCATTGTAGGAAAAACAATGGAAAGGCTCATAATAGAGAGAGATCTAGTGATGCTAGATAGGGAAGGGAGGCTGACAGCCACACAACATGGCTTCCGCAAAAACAGGTCCTGCCAGACAAACCTTGTGGAATTCTATGACAAGGTTTCGAGATGGCTAGAAGGAGGGGATGCAGGGGATGTTGTATACCTGGATTTCAGCAAGGCCTTTGACAAAGTGCCCCATGATATCCTGGTGGAGAAACTGAGGAGTTTTGGGATACACCAAAGCACTGTCCGGTGGATTAGGGCATGGTTGACTGACCGAAAGCAGATGGTAACCATTAACGGGGAATCATAGGGATAACGGCCAGTGACAAGTGGGGTCCCCCAGGGCTCTGTCCTGCGGCTGATCCTATTTAATCTTTTCATTAATGACATGGAAGAAGGGGTGAACAGTCTGCTGATCAAATTCGC